TATGTATGTGTGTGTAACTGCAATGATTAGCCAAAGGGGAAAAGCAGCAACTTTGTACTGTTCTGAAAGACATGACCATAAGGAATGTTTTAATTCCTGGTGTTACCAAGCTTCGTCTCGCCAAGCACGATAGGGCCGATAATGCTAATAAGAAATCGTTAACAATGACAGTGTTGTGAACTGAACGTTTCCTCCCCAAATTCACCTGTTGGTGATGCTATGAGGAGGTATTAGGAGTCTCTGGGAGGTGATGGGGTCGTGAGGGTGGGGCCATCATGAACGGGATGGGAGCCCTTTTCAGAAGAGACCGGAGAGCTGGCTTCTCTCTCTGCTCTGGGCCACAGGAGGACGCAGCGAGAAGACGGCTGTCTGCAAATGAGGAAGAGGGCCCTCACCAGACACCAGACATGCTGGCACCCTGACCTCAGGCTCTTCAGCCTCCAGAACTATGCAATGAAATGTTTTCTGTTTAAGTCACCTAGTCTGTGCTGTTTTGTGAGAACAGCCTGATGAAGACAGAGAGGAAATGTTTATACATAATGCGTTCTGTGCCGGGCACCATGATAAACACTCCATACATAGTGACTCACCGTCAGACCCACACAACCCTATGAAGTAGCTACTGTTATCCTCATTTTACAGATGACGAAGCCAGTGCACAGAGAGGTTAAGGAACCTGCCTAAGGTCACACAACCAGTGAACAGCAGACCTGAGATTTGAACCCAAACAACTGAACTCTTAAGTCTGAACGAATAACCACGTGCCCCTGCCTCTGACAAGAAGAAATAAGCCAGTAAGAGACCAGCCTCTGCTTCTGGTGTAACGACAGCGGGAAAACCGTGCTGCCCACAAGCTGGGGCACGTACCCAGGCTGCTTACTCCAAGGCTGTAAGGACCCAACTCGCCCCTGTTGCTTTCCCCTTGACAAGCACCATTGGTGGGAACTTCTGAGGTCAAGGTGCAGTCCAGGGGGGTGGCTGACAGTACCTGCATCGTAAGGAGATCACTGGGATGCTGAGAAAATTCTATCTCTGGATTGAAGATGGAAGATCGGGCAGGGAGGTGACACTGGAAGAGGACAATGAGTGTCAGGTGCCACCACTATGTCCAGGACACCCAGAAAGTAGATTGCTTTCTCTTTAAGAGCCTGGAGTTAAGTGTTGATTTGATCAGCCTGAGGCTCTACTGGGACGCACTGCTTTCCCGGCCGCCCTTGATTCTGCAAGCTAACGCGAGGGCTAAGGATCAGTCTTGAGAAAGAGAACGAACATAAGCACAGTTTTGTTTTGCCAGATTCCACTAATACCATTTTATTGTGCTAAGAGCTTCTCATGGGGGTGGCAGCCACCCTGTAAAAGGACAAATATTTTAGTTTAAAACAGACATGTCAATGTCTTACTGATGAAAACTGCAATGTTGCCAATACCACTGGAGGTCTGGAGGACTCCAAGACAACCAAGACGACAGTGCCCAACCTTAGGAAGCCCAGAGGCTAATGAAGAAGGCATCGATGAACAGGAATCGGAGCACAGCACGGCACAAGGCATTAGGAATAGTACCATGGATACAGAGGACCCGGGTCACTCCCCCTTTAAGCTACAACGTCCTGGAGGGTGGAAGTTCCCTTCAGTAGCTCTGGTCGTTGCAGATTCCACATTCATTCTGCAGACGTTCATTTGCTGGCACAGATGTTCAACAAACATCTCTGGAGACGAATTCCTGGAGGAGCTGGGAAATTTGACAGCGTCTGGATGACAGAATCTAACAGGAAAAAGTAGACACTTGGGATCCAGATGGCTTGAATTCAAATTCTGACTCAACCACTCACTAGGTAAAAGAAATACCTCCCTTTATGGGCCTCAATGTCTTCATCTATAAAATGAGGATGATTTTATTTGCCTTATGAGGACGTGACAAGGATGAATTTAGGTACCATGTAAACACTTAGCATAATGACCATCCTAGAATAAGCATCCAGTAAGCGTCAGCTATGGTTACGCTCAATTGCCCACAGTCACTAGGATAATTTCTTATCTAGAATATTGAGACATACTGTTCCCACTAAAGAAACAGCCAGGCAAGAAACAGGTCCTCTATAACCACCTCTTGGGGATCTAAAAGGAGACCTTAAAACCACGTCCCCATTCCCACTGATGGAAAGACAGGGCACAGGACTCCTTCCTCTTGGCTCATCTTTACCTGTTCCACTTCTGCAAAAGCTCCAGTGTGTTCGGCTCATGATCGATGCCATAAATCTTAGTGCTCTCCTCTCTTGGTTATAAACATGGCAAGTGGCTTCTAAATAAACATGTTCTGCATTCAGACGGGTCCCTGTATTGCTCAAAAGGCAGGAGAGGGGGTTCAGCTGGCAGCCTTCAGAAGGAACAAGGTAATAAAGTCAGAAGATGACCAGACTCTGGCTCCAGATATCAGCCTGACTTATGCAACAGACTGACAGATATGACTTGCATTTGTCTGAGTTTCTACACGGGATGGAGCCGGGGACTGACTATAGCTGATGGGGCAAATGGAGAACTTTCAGGGTGGCTTCTGAGCTGCAACCCAGAGGCGGTGCAGAACAGCAGCCATCCACGTGCTTAAGTCTTGTCACCTTCCTGTCCTCTCCTCCCTTCCACCTTCCCCCTTGAGCAGGGCCTGGATTCCTGCAGCATCAGCAGGACATATTGGGCAGAATGACTTTAGTCATTCTGGTCAAGCAAAGTAACCCTGTGGACATGCTTCCCACCCAAATGGGACCAGCTGGAAATCGCCTAGGATGACACAGGGGCAGCTTAGCAAGTCAGAGCAAGAGATGGCTTGCAAGCTGGGGTCCCCCAAACAACAGACTGTCAGGCTGAGGGATGAGTCAAGAGCCCTCGGCAGAGACACAAGCGAACACCAGGTCAGAGGATCTTCCCCGTCAAATATTTTGGGATCCAAGGAGGAGATGGGCAACAGAGTTATTCAGCTACAAGCAGACCAACAGTACACCAGCTTGAGTCTAGACTGCCCATCCCCTCCGAATTCCTCCCAACATCCTCAGTAACGTGCTAGGAACAGAAGGAGACCAGGCGATGCAGGATGCTGTGGGGTCAGCCAGTGGCCTGCCTGGGAGTGCGGCCTTGGGCTCCCACCTGCAGAAGGTCAGGCAGGAGGACTAGAGGATGGCGGCCCCCATCGGTCCCGCTCACCTGTCCGGGCTAACATCTCACCTGCCATTTTTGGGCCAAAAGAAAGGGGAAGAAATTTGGGTCAGGTGCTTAGAAAGAGAAGGGAATTAAATGTGTAGGACTAAGCCTTCTGAAGTGAGGTGTAGGACCACGGAGGGGGAAAGGGCGGGCAACAGCATCAAAGCCAAGAAAGAGCCAGAAGGCTGCTCTCTCCTCCAAACCCTTGAGGAAGACAAGACACACTTCTTTAAAAACCCTCTGCAGAAGCCATGGGATTGCCATTTCGGGTACAGGCTTTGTGGTTGGCCAACCCAGGTTTAAGTCCCAACTCTGCCAACATCTTAAGTTCACCCATTAAGTAGGAAATGCATCATCAACCTGCCAGGAGGAGGAGACAGGTGCGATCTTGCCCAGCTCAGGTGCACAGACCCGGGCACACAGTGGGAACCCCATCCTTCCTGGGACTTTCAGACGAGATCGGGAGCATGCAGAGTGGTACAGCTACAGACCTTCCTAGGACTTTCAGATCTATTCCAAATGCTTTCTGAAGCAACCCGTGCTGGATGTGTGTATGGCGTGGTGGGGAGAGGGGAGGATATGAGAGAACCAAGGCACCACGTAGCATCGAAAGTGCCAGCAAGGAAGTGTGTGTCCGAGTTAAATTCTCAGGCTTGAGCCCTTTCAGACTGTCCACCACAAGTTCTGTCTACACCCGTTCTGCGTGACAGGGGTTGGTCCAGGACAGGGATCAGAACACATCTTTCTGCCAAGGGCAAGACAGCAAATATTCTCAGCTTTGCAGGCCACGTGATCTGGGTCAGAGCTACTCAACTCTACTGTTGTAGCACCAAAGCAGCCAGATAAAATGTGCATGGCTGTGTACCAATAAAACTTTATTTACAAAAGCAAGCTGTGGGCCAGATTTGGCCCCAGGGCTGTAGTTAGCCAACCCCTGGTCTAGGGCTTTGGGGTTTAATCAAGATCACGCGGCTACCAAACAGCTGAACTGGGGCTGAACAGGAAAGAAGTCCGCACCCTTCCCATGGCCCCAGTGTGGCCTTCACAATCCCCCTGCTGCTAACTGGGACAGAGTTCTCCCAGCCCCCACCACGCCCAACACACCCTTACTGTCAGGGTCCACCGCTGCCCCCTAAATTCAGTGAGCCTTTTTGTGCTTACCTCCCCAACCTCCACCCCACTGAACATCCTTGACGGTTCTGTCTCTCAGGAATCAACTTCTCCTAAGACTTGACATACTTACTGATAGAAAAGGTTAACCCAAGGCATCACCCACCGACGACCACATGCTCTCAGTGTTAGAGGCACAGGCGTGGGCATCAGACCAGGGTTCACCTTTCCCTCTGCTACGTTCCTGCTGCATGAACGTGGCCAGGGGGGCAACCCCGAGCATTTCCTCTGCCTATGGAAATTGGTTAGGGTTTTTAAAAATAAAGTGAGAGCATTTATGTAAAATATACAGGGCTTTTTCAGCAATGGAATCATTAAAAAGTCACATCCTGCATAATCCTCTTTTCCTCAACATGCTTTCCTTTTACCGCCAACTAGATCATCTCCTTGAGTAAAGGCTGGGACTTACTCTTCGGACCCCGTGGTTCCCGGCATGGGGAGGAGAAAGCAGGTCGTGGGTGCTCAGTGAATTCGTGTCGAGAGACGCTTCTCACTCGGGAACACACGTGATTCACACAGCGGTGAGCCCCTGGAGTCAGGGAACGGTCTGCACACTCACTGAAGATCTTGTTTGTGATACCAGAGGGACTGCAAGTGGCTGGAGGCGTCTCGGTGCTCGCCTCCAGCCCCGGGGCCCCGCGGAGTGAGCGCATCTGGCGCAGAGCTGAACGGCCCCTCTTTGCGCATCTTCAGGGAGGGGGCTCTCCCTCGAGGCTGCTGGCCGTTGTTACTCCAGGTCGCACTGCTCTCTTGACATAAAGGATTGCTTTCAAGGAGACAGGGTTTCATGACCTGATTTAGGCTTGGGTGCCTCCAAAAGCTTCGAGGACAAAGCTGCAGGGGACAGCGCCGGGGAACTTTAGAAATCCAACCTGCCTTCCCCCCAGTCACGCCGGAGGAGCAGAAAGGCGTGTGGAATCCCGTCCAGGAAAATCCCCAAGCCCTCCTGCTCACGAGGAAGTAGAGGCACCTGAGCTACCGCAGGTCAGACGCTCCTCAGGTGCGTGGGGTGGGGGACGCTCAACCTTCCAGGCAAACCAGAATCAAAGTGCGGGTGGAGGAGGGTGCTCGATGCTTTGACTGGCTAGAACCACAGGCAGCTGTGCTCTCTGCAAACAGAGATGCCTTGATGGGCCCCTGGAAGGACACCTGCCCGGTGGCCCCCACACTCCCTAGAAATATTAGCAAACACTTGACACTGAAACAGTGCTGAGTAGGTGCCAGGCACTGTTCTAAGGCTTTTGACACATTAACATAGTTAATCTTTGTGATGACCCTGTGAGGGAGTGCCTCTTATCCCCATTTTAAAGGTGAGGAAACTGAGGCACAGAGAAGCTAAGTCACTTGCCTGAGGTCACACAGCTTGTAACAAGTGAAGATGGGACTCAAACACAGGCAGTTCAGGTCCAGAGTCCTCATTCATCCACTCCATGAGTTTCCAACTTGTGTGAACACAGCCCATCCTTAAAAACAGCTCAAGTTTGTTTTCTCTGTTGCACTTGGCTCTTCTGAATCTAATCTCACTGAATCTAAGGCCTGGATGGACCGGGCAGCCTCACGGCCAGTTCTCTTGTTTTGCAGCTGGAGACACATTCCCAAGGGAAAGGGGAAGGGTCTGCAATTTCCAAGGTTATGCAACCACCCAATGAAAACACCAACACCGACTCAAGTCCCCGCTCCAGTTCCTCAGTACAGGGCTCTTCTCGACACCTTCCAGAGATGCACAGCCACAATGCACAATTAACACTTTAACACCCAGGAAACCACTGGAGAAACCCATGGCCCTTTTCTCAACAACAAGAATGGACTCCAAGAAAGCAGGGAAGCAGGCATCCCACGTCCGGTGTGGCGCCAGCACAATCATAGGCACGGACAGCGCACTGGTCTGCGGGCTCCACTAGGGTAACCACTTGCACCGAGCCACCCACCCATCACTTTGTTTCTCTGTGACCAAATGCATAGAAAGATGGCCGGCCCCGGGCAAGGCTGCAGCCCACACCAAGTCTTCCGCTCTGCGTAAAACGTGAGCCTTTCGGAAGACAAAGTCGGGGCAAAGGCTAAGGAGGAATCCCCACAGCAGAGCCAAGGGCTTGAGTCGCTGCTTCAGGCGGGCACTCAAGCAGCTGTGTTACTCAGCTTAACCACCACTTTAAGCAGCAGAGAGGCAAGCTGACAGAAAAACAGCTAGTCTAGGATTGGCACCTGCCCCCAAACAATGACCACAGCCACCACGTCATCAGCTCCTTCCTGACTCACTCTCCTGCATCCTCTGAGCAGCCACAGAGAAAAGAGGTGACAGGACCCATGGGCACCCTCACTTCCCCTGCCCAAGTGGCACCTTCAGTCAGTCCCATGGCACGTGCCAGAAACTTTACAGTGAGTGAGCCAGACAGGCATGTCACTGGCCGGTTGAGCCTCACATTCCAAATCTCACCGAGGCAGAGATGAAACAGACAGACCCGCAGACACACATGGGCCTCTGCCTCTGGGGATCTGGGGTAGCACCCCACTTCCCACAACAGCTTCCTACCTGCTTCCATAAGTTGGCACTGCTGCCCGAAGACGTGGGAGAAGGTGACGGGGCCTGCGGCAGAACTGGGTGTCGCCAGCGTGGATTCCATGGCTCTCCTGGGATCTTTGGCTTTGGTCTTGTGGCCGCGTCCAGCCCCTTCGGAGCGTCTGAGCGGAGGACGACGTCACTGGCCCAGGTCTGAAGCTACTTGTCACTTCCAAGAAAATGTCCCCGCCCCCAAAGTTTATAAGGTTCCTCCTCTCGCCGCCCACTCCTTGCAGTCTTTCTCCAGCACAGTCAAGTGCAAAATGAAACCCTACGGGTTTCGGCAGAGCTGGTTCGGCTACAGGAGTTAGATGCAAAAGCAAAATCTGAGTTTCACCCAATGGGAGATGTTTCCTCTCGCCAAGCTGGGG